TATTGAGTATGCTTTTAGTTTTCTACTAACGTAGCATTAACCAGATTAAAATAAAATGCTTCATTTGCAAAATAAGCATTTTTTAAGATCACACTCATACTTCTTCTATTCTCCACGAGTGCCAACTTTGATTTGCCAAATTAATTGTTATGATCCTCAAATTTATTTGCTTGGCAACAAATGGTTTGACTATTTTTGATAGGTTTAATAATAACAAAAATATTACAATCCCCAAAATATTCTTCGCAGTTACAGCCCAACTGAAAATGTACCCCTGTCAACCAGACTGCATTTCAAAGTTGTTTTTTTTTTGTATTTCAAAGTTGTTTTTTATATCTGTATATATCCGCAAACAAATCGAATGCCAGCCAAAATATTGCTTGTGTCTACACAAAAAGGAGATCATACACGTGCAAATATAAACCTACTTTGTAAGCGATTCATCATCATATACAACTTAATCTGTTATAAACAATTCAGTTTGGCAAGTCTTACGTGATTTAATTTCTAGTAGAATTTTCTACTCTTGTACTAATAGAAATGATAAATCGTATAAAGGTCAAAAGTTTGCATCATACACCATGAATCATAAACATCATGTGATGAAATTCATTCTTATATGCAATTTGTACTAAATCTGTACAAATATATTACAAACAGAATTGTACATACGACTTCTGATTGTCTGGGACGCCTGTCCTTGACAGTTATTAGTTGGAAACTTTCTTTTTTAATTTGCAGGGTGGTAACTACACCTGAAAACCCCCTTTCAGATTCACATTAACTTGCACGGTTCGAAAAAGTAGTGTAAATTTCTGTTCAATATGATGCACATAAAAGGAGCGTCACATCTCATCTAAGTTTACATTATAAATCGTGTTAAGTTCTGAGACATTTGATGAAATGTTGCAAATATTGTATACGAAAGCCCATATTTGTAAACAACATTGCTTACAAGTTGCTCGTTTGCGTGAAATGAAACACAAGTTTACGTGAATGAATGTTTACATCACAATTATAATTCAGATTTTTTTGCTGTGTGAGCCCTTGTTAAATTCCAGACGACTTTCTTGATTTCCTTGATAAGACTCCACCGTCCCTGGGTCTGTTTCGGCTGCGGCTGCATACGCTTACAGCACAAACGAAGTTTGTGCTTACAGGTATCGTGTACATCCCTTCGTATACCTTATGAAAAATTCATGTACATTTCTGTGATATAAAGCGCACACGTTATAAACGCTAGATTTGGCGTAATTTTACACAACATTTCATGTAAATTTAAGCGCAATATCGCAAAAATAAGCAGTATAGTATACAAGCTTGTAAGCAATTTCGTTGTTTATGCTAGCATAGCTCAAAATAATCGAGAGGAGATTTTACGCGACAGTTAAAATTCAGATTTTTTTTTCTGTGTAGTATATGTCCGACTCTCCACTTCCACTTCCGTGCTCGGATTTCACACATATAGAAATAAATATTTTTACACGTGGCGTAATTCATCTTTGATGTAAATCATAGAACGTAAACACAGATTTCATGTAAAATTAAGTGTTCCTAAACCGAAGCATACGCAAAACGACGAAAAGTGTGTTTGATTATACCACAGACAGACAAACAAATTAGTACCGCTGTACTCCTTTAATCTAGTACATCAAAAAGTACAATTTGTGGTACTAGATTAAAGCAGTACAACCATAGAGGTAACTCTAAGACCACTGGGTCCCGAAGAAAATCATTATTATTTTTGGCTCACTCAGTACCAGAACAACGGTCCCAAGCAGTCCCAAGCTATTTCACTCACCCCTGCATGTTCTAGCATGAACTAGCATTTTAACCGAATGTACTAGAATGTTTTGGTTCTATCTCTTTCACTCTACTCAAAACTGAAATGCATAAAAAAATGACAAAATGATACGCACTCTTTGCACACTGTCAAAGAATCATTGTACACAAAATCAACTTTGTTCAAATCAAAACAAAAAAACTAACCCATCTGGTGGATGATGGCACAAGCTTCCAAGAAAATTCTATTACAGTGAACCACATTATTTTAATTGATTTCTTCGCCAGTAAGTCGTCTGTCACTTCGTTTGTGCTATTGGTCCCAAGCAAACAATTAACGTACCCTATTCTAGTTGAAATTCTAGTACTACGCAATGTTTGTTTTGATTCGCTATGAAAGTTTGACAGATAAAATGAGGGGTTATTGGTTTTTCCTATGTTTCGAGGGGTGATTCGACAAGCTTGGGACCGAAGATAGTACCAGAGGTGAGCCAAAAAGTTGAGCACGTTTCTTCGGGATATACTTGTCTTAGAGTTACCTCTATGGTACAACATTGAATGTATGTCTGTACAAGGTATTAAATTGATTTTCTCCTCTCTTCTGATTCTTATGTCATTAGAGCTGCTTGCCAAGGTTGCAAATACTCATTTCAGCTAAAACAATGTTTTTTTTTTAATTATGAAATAATTAGATGCCATGATCATATTTTGAATTGGTAGGATACAAGAAGAGGTTGCAAAGAATGTGTTTGACATATTAAACCTGTTTATTTCACTTTATGAGGGTCACAATCAGCGATTTTTCACACACTCACTCACTCACTCACTCACTCACTCACTCACTCACTCAGCGATCAGCAAATCGCTGATTGTGACTCATAGAAAGCAAAATTTACAGGTTTTATGTTTCAAACGCATACTTTGTAACCTTTTCTTGTAAGTTACAAGTAAAACATGCCATCATACCATCTTTTGGTTTTATTATTCCGAAAAACATTATTTTAGCTGAAATGAGTATTTGCAACCTTGCCGCTTGCATGTGTCGGTCTCAGGGAACCGACATTTACATGTCTTTTTCGTAGTATATGTGGTATTCGATCAGGTATTCGGGGTTCACACCAAAATGTTTCCTGATTTTCGGCCTTTTACTACCTAACAAGTGGCCGACAAGGTGTTTGAGCGAAATTTAGAAATTGAAAAGCTTTATATTCCTTTTCTTCTTCTTCTTCGCATTTCAAGCTTATTACTTATCACATATTAACTTATTGCGTGCTCGCAACTTAGTGTTCTAGATGCACTTCCACAGTTATTAATTGAGAGCTTTCGATGCCTGTACTATTTTTGCATTAGAACAATTCAAGAACAACATGTGAAAAGGGCATACAAGCTTTTTGTAAACAAACCTTCTTATGACCTTTTCTCGCCACCCATATGACACCAACGCAAACCATTAACATCACCTGATAGGGGAAGCTTTCCCCTTCTCAATGATGTTGTTAGTTTGCGTGGGCGACCCTCGGTTGTTGAGAAGAGGGCCTACAAAGGTTTGTTTAGAAAAAGCTTGTATGCTCTTTTCACATGTGGCTCTTGAATTGTGTGGCAAGTAAAATCATACTCTATGTTCAGGGAAGTCGAGAAATTTTCCAACCCGAAAAATTCCTATATTGGACCGGGAAGCGAACCCAGCCACCTCCAGCATGGTCTTGTTTTGTAGTGCGCCTTTACCGACTTATAGCTAAAGGAGCCATTGACTGAACTTGATAACGGCCGAATATTTGGTGCATCACTAGTTTTATGTCTACATTACATTATACTACATTTTTTTCAATTCATGTATTTAAAAAGGCCTATCGCGGGAGCTTGATTGAGCAATGATTTTTTATCTTTTTTTATTTCGTGTTCTGTCTACACACAGAGTTTAGATTACCGAAATCGGTAAAATTTTACTGGGTTTTTAGTTGTCTTTAGAAAAATAAAAATAAAAACTGGTTTATTTTTATTTTTTACATATTTTCCCAATATTTTTTGAAAAATCAAAACGTAATTATTTGTTACAGAGCTTTCCCTTAACGTCTTCATTAGAAATTTACATTGTAGACGTTAACTCCTGCCCAGAAGTACTAACGTGACTAAATAATAATAAAAAAAAGCGATAGTGGTGCTTTGTACAGCTACAGTTGATGTTAGTTGAACCAAATAAATACACGGTGTCTTGCGTTGAAAATAAGGTTAATTAAAGACAAAACAAACACATTCTAGCGATAGATTGGTTAAACGAAGAAAAGTTGACCGACTAAGCCTAGAAAAATTGATCATTATTTGCTTTAGATGGTGCTGATGATAGAAGGATGTGCGATTTCGGAATTAATTGTACACGTGATTTTATATTGAACATGAAGGTTTTATTAGCCACCGTTTTTGCCTTTTTTATCTACTTTTTATTGGGTATGACGTTTTAACAAATTTTTCCGATGCAACTGCTAATACTGTATACTAACTATTCACATTATCAAACCCTTCTAATCCGAGTACATTTCACAAAATAACATATTAACTTTAAAATGAGCAAATACATATGGAAAAGATATTTAAAAGTAGCTTATCGTGGACGGAATTATTTCTTACTAAGTACTTCAAGAAGATACACTAGTTGGTAATTTAAAATCGCAGATCGGATAACATTACTGAAACAAGTAGTTCGTTTCAAAGCATTAGTCAACAAATTTTAAGTACACCGTCGTGAGTGATAGTGAAGCGTACTGTTCTTAAATTACTATTCAGTTAAGGTACAAACGTCTCTTTTTAAGTACATTCAAATTTTGTTAAAGGCGTGATGTTTCATATCCGTAGGTGTTTTAGTAGAAAGAAAGTCTTACTTGTTAATGTTATTCTAAATTTAAAATAATGATGGGCATCGTATGCACTTTGAAGAACCAAGCTTCAGGGTAATCGATCGAGTTATTTCCAATTGTTCCAAATATAAGTAATTTCAGTTCACTAAAACAATAGGTTAAGATTTTGGCAGATAACAACAGTATTCTTAGGAAACCGTCATCAAGGCACTTTTCACCATGAACCCTGTGTGCATGATTACGTATTAATCACAATAAACCCTCAACCACAAAACATACAACTTCAAACTAACTACAACACAACCATCACCCAGCGAAAACACTAGCACAGTTCAACTTGCCTTGAGGTTTGCATTTGAGGTGGTATTCAATATACTGACAAGGACACTGAAACTGGCGACAGTGGCGAGCGGGTTCAACAGAGGACACATCAAGCAATCCACGCATCGATTCATTACCCCATCTAGAGGCGTATCGCAGCAACAGAAGCAGTCCTCGTTCCTGTAACAAAGCACGTTAATGTCTTTTTTCCGTAAAATCATTTATTTATTGAGGGTTTCAGTATGTAAATTTTGTGATGATAAATTAAGGTAATTCTACTTTAAGTAGATTTTGGTCAGTTATCTTGTGATATACACATATGTGTCACCCGCCACCAAATTCCGATATTCTTAAAGTACTAAAATATTCGTCAGAGGCACAATATGTTAACACTTTTGTACTAATTGTTAGTAGAGTTTTCTAATGATACAGTATGCTTCACTCTAGTTTATCACTTTTAACGTTCGATCTGTTTGGCGCTTATTGACTGTTATTTCTTTTGTAGTAATGATCAGATTTGAAATCCTAATCTTTGTATTCGCTGCCGAAGTGATGCACAACAAACTCGTGGGTCATCTTTTGGTTTTTTATGCAAAAGAACTTCCTCTGCGTACTGGCAAGGGCAATATGCAGTAGGAATATGCCTTGGTGAGGAAACGATTCCATTTTCTTCAATGGTCCAGTCCAGTCGCCTCCGGAGGTAATCCTTACCCCAACGCTGTAGATAGCGTAGGAAAATTTCTTCTGCTCTACCCTAGAGTTTATATTACATTACGTGGAATTTAGGCATTAGATTCAATCACAAAAAATTTTTAAAACCCTTATCACATAAATTTGGTATGTAAAAAAGCTACTGCCACCTACCTGCTTTCTTGATAGTCGAGTAGTGTTGGCTCCTTGAATGACAATATCATTGGTAGTGACATCCAGCCGACTCTCCCAACCAGGCTCAATAGTGTTCCCATTTTGTTCACTTCGTTCGATAAACTCATTCAAGTAGCTAATGCATTGCGATGGTTCAAAGTACATGAAGCAAAGATTTACCTTGTGACACGAAATGTGCCCTCGGTCATCTAACGCCAGCAAGATTTTATGACGTATCAACTGCTTATTTACGCGAGCCATGCAGCGTTCGAGTCCACGGGCAAGCCGCAACTTCACCCACATGCATAAGAAGATCGCTGCTGCGTTAAGGAAAAGCCAACCAACGCCAAGCGAAAATAGCGTGATTCCATATAGGCCTGAAAACAGCAGACCTAATAGCACTACGAACGCAAACAGAATCCACACGACCAATACGCGTTTGTAGCATATGTTATACATGGTGAATCGGTAGTCATTAACAAGAGTTTCCATGGCGTGAACATACTCTTCAACGGTTAGCTGAAAAGCATAAAAAAATTAATGATTATTTTTTTTAAGTCTTGGTTTATAGCCAGCGTCTGGCCAATAGAACGGAGTGTTCAAAATAATGAATAATCCAAATTAATGTTGGATTCGTTCATTTGATGAATGGTGTGGGATCCTTAACCGTACTAAATATTTCTCACAGCAGTATTAGGTTTTGCAGCGTAACGTCTCGAATGAACTCAGTGTTAATCGGATGAACTTTTTGATAGTTCAGTGGTACTGTTTACAAGCAGTTAATTTTTTTTTGAAAAAAAAGCAATTTGGCAAGGATTTTTGATCTAATTTTTTTTTTGACGGGTCTGAACAAAAAATTAAACATTTGTGTCAAAGATGACTTCTGAATTTATTCACCTTTCCATAAGTACCGTTGGATTTGATAAATAGTCACAAATTGTTGAGACATTGTTCAAAATCTAATACTGCTTCTTGATTCGAAATTCGCCCTAACGCATTGAAACGCCATTAGATTTGCTTCGTCCTACAGATAAACGTAGAAAAAGGGGAATCGCTAGGAGCGCATCTTTTGTTATGAGAACAATGAGCGTTAATATTCATACAATGCGTTCTAATAGAGTTTTTGTTGTAGCTAATGAACCAACGCATCGACCAATGAACCAACGATTTGTGCACCGTGAAATCATTGATATTATTGAACTTTTCTGATCGATAGAACGGAAATAGGCGAATACGACAAAGTAGCGCTCTACCCTATTTGAATTTTAATTTGAAAATTATTGAGAAAATGCGCGTTAAAGGATGTTGTTAGTGGACATTGCAGAAGTGTGGTTTACATCTCACTGCAGTCTAAAAAATTATCGAGAAAATCTACCCAAGAAAAAATCGACGAAGTCCACGTAAACAGTACCACTAAACTGTCATCCGATTGAGGTTAACCCCGCCGGTACAAAACCTTATAGGGAACTGCATCGTCAAGTTAACCTAACTTTTATTGGCATCTTGTAGTGGTTTGTTTACATTGTTTACTCTGCTATTATTTTGAACAATTTTACCTGGTGTCTCACTTTCCGGCAGGTACTTCCAAACATTGTAATCGTAAAATTGAACATAATTGTAGTTCTTTGGCAAACGCTTCTTTTTTTTTTTTTTTTGGTATTAAGCTAGAGCAGCTTAATTTTCAAGACTTGACCCAATTTTGCTTCTATCTTTGACAATACAGCATCAGGACTAGACTATGTTGGCCGCTTGAACACTGGATTCCGTATGTATTGTTTCAAGATAGTTATAGAAAAAATGCTGTGACGTGTGCGCGTAGATACATCCGCGTAGTAAACCGATTGAATAAGTAAATCCGTTTCGAACGAAATATCTAAATTATGTAAGTTACGAAAACCGCGCGAATTCTGAAAGCCGTGCGAGAACCGAAGCAAGAAAAAAGGCTTATTATCGTTAAAAGAGTGCCACCAAAATAAATGTGATAGCCTATGTTGGCAAGTTGATTAATTTTGGTTTCCTCCCTAAATATTCTACTTATTTTACTGTTGAGCTTTGTTTCAATTTACTTATTTTACCGCACGTATCAATCATTTCAAGATTTCGCGACCGTACCGAACAAATACAGAAGCTCAAAAGTTAAACATGCATCAATACCACATAAGGAAAGATCGATTTTACGTATGGTTTAGTTCATAGATTAACATTGACTGCTGTTTACAAATGTAAGTACTTGAACACTAAGAAATAAGTTAACTCAAATGCTTTAACCGCATATATAAGAGATTTCGCGTATTGAGAGAATTATATAGTAATCGAGTACAACAAACTCAGGGGAATACAATACCTCCAAAAGTTTAAAAGCTATTAATTGTCACATACCTCTACTTTAACTTATTTCCTAAACTATTCCTCTCCTTGTTAATCTGCTAAATGCTATTGGTCTGCCTGCGTTTTCTTTTTAAAGTTCAAGACTAAATAAGAAGATTTATTCTACAACTTTAAAGGTTAGTTGCCTCCCTAAGCGGACCCCCCACATCCTAATTCTTTTGTTTATCTACTTAATGTCATTAGACTTTCTGAAGTTTCTTATTTAAGTTCATTTGATGATTATGATATCTCATTAGTCTAATTTAATAAATTATTAAAAGCTCTAATTCACCTAATCAAGCATAACCCATGCTTTATTAAGTACCTGCACTTGTTCTTGTAATCTAAAATTAAACGTGTTTCAAGTACTTTTGATTTTGACCTATACTTATTTATTATATCTTAGTTTAACCCAGGTAACACCTTCATGTGACTAAAATGCTTCATTTTGAAGTTAGTTTCCTAGCTGATTTTTAAATTATATAGGGTATATGCTCCAATTACGCTCTCACGTTTCCACTATGTCGCACCACAAAAATACATATGGGTATGTTACAATAGAAGCACACCACAGTGGAAATCTCGAGCCATAGTTCAAACACTTATCCCAAATCAAAATGAAGCACATATAAGATTAGTTACAATACCATGTACAAAAATGATGTTTAACATTGTTTCCTGAGTAATACTTCAATGAAAACAACAATGAAAGCTTGTCACGCAAATAGAAGGAGCACTTTCTGAAATATTTCAATAGTATAATTCCCTTGCAAACCCAAATAAATCTATCTGCGTAAAAATAAATAAAATAAGAGTGATTTGCGGCAAAACCCGCCAGTATCACACCCAACGTCAGTGCCTATATGTAAGCGTACTACGACGCGGCTCTCAATTAAAGGAGTAACAAGTGTGATACTATCACTGCTAGACTAGATCTTTGGTTCTCTCATGCAGTGGTTTATCAGAGAGGGGAAGCCTAGTAATCCCCATTGCCTGCCCATGCCGCCATTCTATCGCGGCATGAGCCAGCAACGCCGGTCATAAACCTACCGTCTCCAACACTCCACTATAAAGCATGAAATTAAGCTCGCCCACCAACAGCAAGGTGCAAAAACTAGCCAAAGGGAGGGAAGTTCTTTGGCAAACGTTTCAGCTCAATTTATCATAAGTTAACAAAGTTACATCATGTCAAAGTTGATCATTTTGTATGAAAATCGGCTTGCGCTGCTATTTTATCGAACACAACTGTACCTCAGGTTGAGGTTCGCACTGACAAAAAGTTCGGTTTCGCACTGTGAACTGCAATGGAAAAAGTTTACACTTAATTTCTATTTGGAACTCACATAATATTTTTTCCAATAATAAAAATAATGATTTTTATCTGAATATCACATAACATAAGAAATTCTATGTGAGTAATCATATAAATTTCATTGAAAACATAACGTTTATGTGATTTAGTGGTGCAATGTCCAATTATGGGATCACATGAAAGTTATGTGAAATTCACATGGATATTCTTCACTGGTTATGTGATTTATTTTATGATTGTGGTTCCATCAAATGCGAATTCGCAATAAGGTTCTGTAACCTGACGTCACGATTGATCAATTTTTGGACAGTTCAGTGGTACTGTTTACAAGCACATAGAATTTTTTCAAAAGAAAATAATTTTAAAAATTCCTAATTTTAATTTGAAAAATGCTGAGAAAATGCGTGGTGATAGGATTTTGCTCATGGACATTACAAAAGTGTGATTTTCATCGAGATTGAGAAAATTTACCCAAAAGAAAAAAACTAAGTCCACGTAAACTGAACCTTCATCCGATAGTGGTTAATCCCGACGGTGCCAAACCTTATTAGCAAATGTTGATTTCGCAAAAACAGGGCCTCAAATTGATGTCGACAGTCGGGTTTCAATATTGAGAACTCCGGCGGTGGATATTTACTATTTGTGTCCTTCAAACTAATCTCGCGACTTCTGGTACATTGCTGTTCGAATTTAAATGCAATTTTTGTTCACAGCAGTTCCATTTCACATGACGAATTTTTTTTAAATTTTTTGATCGACCTTCTACGATTATGTTGAAACTTTGCACAGTTGTTTGTTATTGCCCAACATGCAATTTTACATATATGGTTCCCTAGTTTTGCACACGATTAACACTTGAAAAGGGCTTATGCAAAAATGATACGCATCAATAGAAAAATATATATCTCGTGAACAATTTGTTTGATCGAGATGGTGTCTTCGAAGAAGTTGCGGACAAGTATTGTGCCTTTCAAGAAAAAATATACACTGTAAAAAAAATATAATTTTTTTTACAAAAAAAAAATCAAAATTATCAAAAAAAAAAAAAAAAATTACTCAAATTGCATTTTTTTTAAATTATTTTTTATATTTATTTTGTAGTTCAGATAAAGTAATACCTACTGACACTGTGCATTTGCTGCGAAAATCATAAACAAAAAAGTTATGAATAATTGAAGAAATTAGTATTTTCCAAAATACCACCTACAGTTATCGAATATCTTTAAAATAGTGTTAATATTAAAACACATTAAATTTACAACAAAAAAGCTCATAATGCTTAAATTGCCCAAAGTTGTTATTTTCGAGATACTCGTAGGTTAAAGTTCACTTGTCGCATAATTTGAGCAATTTTCACTCTTTTGAGATGTTATTCGTGAGTGTTCAATCTTGAAAGTATTTTTAACAAAAAGCCCAATTAATTTCCTCAAACTTTGCTGTTCACAGTTTTTCAATCATACGCATGGGAAAAGTGTATTTTTCTGTTTGGCCCCATATACGGCTAGCTAGTTTAGCTACTAAATTATATCTTAACTCATGCGTAAAAAAAACCCTACGAGATTTTGATTTTTCTCATGTTAAAATGTTTTAAAAAATCGGATTTTGATGCCATTTGTAATTATAGCATGCTATGGTCCATATAGACATATTTTAAAAATTTCTGTATTTACACCAAAAATTGTGTTTTTTTTAAATATGCCATTCGATTACCTTTAGCTTGAAACGGATAATGTGATTGGAATCAAGTCGATAGGTTGTATCGTTATCGAGAAATCGTTAAATACGTACCGTGTAAATCGCGAAAAACCGTGTAAAAAAAAAACACTGTAAAAAAACCGCGTAAAAAAACCGTGTGAAAAAAGACTTCAGTGTACTGAGAACAAACTCCCTGCTGGACAACGGAACAAGCGTGTTAAGTTAAGTTTTCTTTATTAAGGAGGCTTTCAGCCTGGAGCTGGTTCGCCTCCATACAAGCGTGTTGTGTCACAGCATCGACACGCATTTTGCAGGCTCGGTATTATGCACAGCAAAAAATTAATTTTGATATCACATCAAAGTGGATGCACTTCAATCGTGTCAAAAATATGGTGTAATATTACTAGCCAAGCTGGGCAAAATTATTATTAATACAGTACATGAACTGACATTACGCTGCTTTTTCTGCATTTGTTTATTTTTGTGGCCATTAAAATTACATGAGATTTTCGACATTACTGAAGTGCATCCTCTTGGATATAATATTAAAAATTTTTTTCACTGTTTGACAGTTAAGTTTCCATGGGTAATCTTACACACTTAGATTATGTTACCGAAATCTGTGAAATTTTACCGAAATCTCAACAACTGAACGCTCGGTAAACAGTTCGGTGATTTTTCACAGATGTCCTGTAATTTTTCACAGATATTCGGTGAAAAATTACAGGAAATCTGTGAAAAATCACCGAACTGTTTACCGAGCGTTCAGTTGTTGAGATTTCGGTAAAATTTCACAGATTTCGATGAAATAATCTTAGTGTGTATTACCCAGTGATGCATGAAATCACGTTTCTCTCGTATAATAGATAACTCGTATAATTTTGCATTGCAAATGTTATGTTAAATTAAACCTTCATCTTCTATTCACTTTGTTGCTACACGCAAACGTCTCATTTAAAGGTTGAATGTCTCATTAGATTTGAAGATGTCTTAATTTTAAGAACATTTGAAATTCTGTGAAGAAGTGTTTCCAGCGCCGGTGGTGTAATGGTAAGCGTGACTGCCACTCACTCCAAAAGGCCTGGGTTCAATCCCAGTTGGCGCTGTTGGGATTTTCTGAGGCATAATATCTCTGATCACGCCTTTCTTCGGAAAGAGGTTAAATACGTTGGTCCCCGGTCATTGAGTTGATGGGTCGAGAGGTAGGGTCCAGGTGTGAGAGCTGCCTCCCTGCCGTCGGTAACATTGGTATGGAAAACAAGATCGACGGAAAACAAATCAGGGAAAAAAAAGAAGTGTTTCTGATCTTCAGAATAATAATAATAATAATAATAATAATAATAATAATACGAATAACGCTTCCTAAACTTCTTCCCAATCCTTTCAACTTATCCCTGAGCCTCTATTTATGACGTTCCCTAAATTTGTGGAAAGCTCTGCAAATTGTTGGAAAGTTGCGTCCACTTCTACGAAGTTTTCTGAACTTATACGATAGGTGTATAGGTTGACAAAACTACAACTAATTTTTTACCAAGCTTACTTGTATATATTTCCAATGTATCATTCACTGTTCCCGGAGGTTCAGGATCTCAGAACATCATGATGGATTTCTACAATATTCCCATCAACAAAACTCCCTGAATTACACGAAATTCTCGAAAACCTGGCCGAGCTTCTATGAAGTTCCCTTAACTTCTACATAATTCCTTGCTCTTCAAAGAAGATTTACGAAGTTTCTCGTTTTTTTATTGAATTCGCTCAACTTTTACAAGATTGCTGAACTACCATAAATTAACTCCTCTTCTATGAAGCTTTTCGAACTTTTAAGAATTTCGTTTATTTACTGTTCCGTGATGTTTTATAAACAATTCGAAATTCTATGCAATTCTTAAAAACTATTCTTATTTTTTTAAGAAGTGCTAAAGACAAAAGGAGGTCCCGAAATTGGTGTGCAAGCACCCTAAAAAAACGAGGTGCATGAAAGTTGTTTAATTCGCCACTTCGGCTACTGCGTGAGATATCGTTTATGCCTTCCATGGTGATTTTTTAATCGAAAAGCTACACACTAAGATTTTTTGGCGAAGTGGGGACCACCGAGCAGCTTGGCATTTTATTTTGCTGGATCTCAGTGAAAAACTTGCCGTGATACAAGCTGCTCGGTGGTGCCCATCTCGGCAAAAACAAATCTAAGTGTGTATGTTTGTCTATTTATGGTTTTATGTTTTATGACAAGTTTTGATTACTGAGCTCACCGTTAATCCTTGTGCCATTAATTCTTCTGGAACAAGTTCTGGGCGGAATACAGCAGGAGTTATCCAGGGCCAACGTGTATTTGTTGGCAATAGTGTAACAATCACATCACCGTTTGCTGGGATCAAAATATTTAAAATTATTCTATTTATAATTACACTTTGCTGAAAAAATGCTTACCAAAGCCCTCACGAACACGACCGGTTGAAAGTTCAATTGTGCGCATTGACTGAATCGGTTGAACAACATTGACGGATTGCTTTGGAATGTCGATCACCGCAGGTTGTGATGTCTTGTTAACGTTGCCTGCTGAGATAGATGATTGGGACAAAGCGCCAGCATTATTAGCTTGACTGCCTTGTTTTGGTATGCTCGGTAACCTTGAATCTACATTGACGTGAACAGTCTCTGTCGTCAGTACCGCAGGTGTTATGTCTTTCTGCGACGGCGTCGGTGCCACAGGACCTGTTGATTTAGAGGTTCGGGGTGGTGCCAATGGATTGGGACTCTGTTGAAATATAAATAAGAAAATAAGATTAAAGCTACCTATATACTACCGGTATTTGCATACCAGTCTTACGTCCTGTGGATTTCCTATCTACTAACTCAAGACCAACAATTGAAATGACCTTAACTCCATTTTGTAAACAAACCTTGTAAGGCCATTTTCTCGCGAACCGAAACCTTCATTCGCAAACCTAAACCACAACCGGGTAGAGAAGAATTTCCCCTACCTTATGTTGGTTTGTTGGTTTGCCTGTGCGGACTTCGGTTCGCGAGAAAATGGCCTTACAAGGTTTGTTTACAAAATGGAGTTAAGGCCATTTCAATTGTTGGTCTTGAACTAGTTGTAGTTGGAACATCTTTTTCGAACTTAAGGTTATACACACAAAACACCAAAAAAACATTGGGGTGATGACGGAAAAACAGAAGTTATGCCGCGGATTCACTTAGATGACAAGCTATCAGCATGAGTATTATTTTTATAATAAATTATCAGCACATCCAAGATCACACTTGTATAGTTTGTGCATAGTTGTTGATGGTAATGGCAATGAAAACAAATCCGCAACAACATATTTTTGAAGAGCAAATGTACAGCAAAATGAAAACAAAATTTGGTTTTCAGTTTGATGTTGATATCAAAACTTGATTTCAATTTGCTGTCATTTTGATGCTGGACTTTGCTCAGGGTACCATTTTTTCCTTTATTTAACATCGGTCTCTGTTCCGCAATCTAGTGCCAATCACCGACGGATATCGATCGCCATCCATTGACAGCAATCGAATGTGCAGGAAGGCAGCTTCCACACCTGCGTAAGATATCGCACCTATTCAACACACATGGGCCGGGACCAACGGCTTTACTTCCCTTCCGAAGGAAGACGTGACCAGAGATTTTTATGCCTCAGAAAAATCCCACCGACCTCGGCTGGGGTTGAACCCAGACCCATCGGGGTGTGAGAAAGCAGTCACGCTTACCACTACACCACCGACGCCGGCTAACTCGGGGTATACCATTCAAAATAGTTGTTTTCTCCATACATTTTCGGAAAGAAGACTATATTAGAACCTTTTTACTTATGGTTTGAGAACTTTAATGGAAAGGGTTATGGTAGCCAGAGAGGTAATTAATGGTTTTGTATTATCGTTCAACTTTACGTAGAATATATCGCGAATTGGTAATCAGTAATTAACAGGCAACCAATTCGCTATATATTCCACATAAAGTTGATGGATGTTATAAATACATCTATGAACCTTACCGACATAGTTTACCCATTTTTGGGTAGGTTCAATGTTGACTGATCTGGGTGGATTCTACCCAAATTTGGGTAGTTTTAAAATAGCGTGTGTAGGACATAACCCCAAGAACCGCACACTTATTCTAGCTCGGTAAAATCTCCAACAGCCGATTACCTCGGCATTTACTTTTGCTTATATCTTTGCAAAATATCTGTTTGTTAGAGTGATACTTCAGTAAAATGTTATTTGTTAGCTGAGTCTCGGCAATTGTTATACTGAATCTCAGCAAAATAAATTTCAGAACTATTCGGCTGTTGGAATTTCGGGGAAAAAAATTAAGTGTGTAGATCCGAAAACCATGGTGCCATGATTTAGAAACTACCAGAACATGACTACAACTGGGTACAACTACCACAACATGACAGCTGGTAAAGGACATATCAAATTCATCTCTCCTCACCTTGCCGTTCACCTTTTCAAGATATCACGACCATAGTTGGGAGTGATGATAGGCTTATAGGGTATGTTAATATAATTGCAACTGAAAGAAGAGGGTACCAACAGTTTATAAAGAATCAGTCCGGGACTAGTTACATCATAGGTTGTTAGTGTAACAAGTTTTGGGCTGATAACGATTAAAAAAACATTCGTAGGGTAGAGCACTACTTCGTCGTAATCGCCTATTTCCGTTCTATCGATCAGAAATCATCAATTATATCAATGATTGCACATTGCCGTGCTCACAGGGTTGCTTCCACTCACTTGCTATAAAAACATATTTTTCGGAATTATGCAATCATTAGATGATAAAATGATTATGTTGTACTTGTAAGTAACGAGAAGAGAGTTTAAAGAATGTGTTTGACTCATAAAACCTGTCAATTTTGCTTTCAGAGCGTCACAATAAGCGATCTTATGATTCGTGAGCGTTCACTCAGAGTGAGCACTCACGAGTCGTAAAATCGCTGATTGTGACGCACTGAAAGCAATATTGACAGATTTTATGTGTCAAACACATGCTTTACGTCCTCATCTTGTAACTTACAAGTTCTAATTATCACTGTACCATCTCATGATTTCATAATTCTGAAAAACATTTTTTTATAGCAAGTGAGTGGAAGTAACCCTGCGTGCACAAATCAATAATAAGTTTATTCCGATGCGTTAGTTCATTAGATGTAACATAAATCCTGTTAGAGCGCATTGTATGAATATTTACGCTCATTGTTTTGAAAACAAAAGAAGCGCTCCTAGGGAATCCCTTTTTTCTACGTTTATTCGTAGGACGAAGAAAATCTAATGGCGTTTCAATGCATTAGGACGGAATTGAAACTCGTAGAACGAAATTAGAATCAAGAAGCAGTATTACATTTTAAACAATATCTCTACACAAGTCACAAGACTCTTTTGCAAATCTAACGGTACGTATGGAAAGGTGAATAAATTTAGAAGTAATTTTTGACAGAAATGTTCCATTCTTTGTTTTAACTCGTTCAGAAAAGAGAGCTAAAGCGCGGGTTGTGCTTAGTAGGACGGAAATTAGATAAAAAAAAACCCTATCTAAGTACTGCAATCACCCGGCCTACTGTGTTGGTGAAATACATATATCACATTCGGCTGGAGTGAGGCATACACACTAAGATTTTGTTTCCGTTCGGTAAAACTTTGACCTTCATTTTAAAGGCTATTGAATTTGAAAATAATATTAAAACATGTTCAACCTTGTTTAAATGACCAAATCTTGTCATTTTCAGTGTAAATCTTCACTTTCAAAGTAGCTTAAAAGCAATTGAATTGAATTGCATTAATTTTACCGAAAAGTTCAGCTGTTCAGATTTCGGTAAAAATTACCGAAGTCGGCGATAATTTCTGAAAGCAAAATTGACAAATTTTATATGTCATATACAACCTTTACCACCTCTTCTTGCATCTTACAAATACAAATTATCATTATAGTATCCCATTGTTTCATAATAACGAAAAATAGCATTTTAGCTGTAATGAGCAATTGCAAGCCTGATCATAGCCATGTCATGACTGAGTTTTGCGATTAGAAAATGTAATTGAGTATACGATTTTTGACCTCAATACATCATTTTCGGAAACCGAAAATCATTGTGAATTCCAGGAATTGATTTCCGGTATCTACATGCATTTACCAATATTGACCTCCTGAAGAACTTTGCTATAGACGCCAACATTCTCGATGAGTTCAAGATGCATAGTATAGGGGAAGTTCACATGCACATTAGCACCTAGTAGTGAGATTTAATTCTGAACTAATATGTCCACCTACTGAATGGTCTTTACCCCCTGAATAACTTTGCCCAAGGCAGCAACCTTGTATGTCGCCAGGACCACACGATATTCACCCATACTACCCATAATCACATATCAGTCCCATCTTTGCTTGATTTCCTATCCATATGGGACTGATATGCGATTATGGGCAGCATAGGTGTCAATTAAAAAAAAACGAAGTGTATCTTGAAAAAAAAAATAACTGTTCCAATCGGGATTATACTGTACCATAGTTAACGAACTTTCGACAGTAAAAATATTTATGTCTCCAAAAGTGTTTGCCTCATAGGACTAACCACCCAAGCAAAGTCTGAGATCAAATTGAAAACTAAATTTAATGTTGCTGACAATGATTACTCACGTTGCTGTCATTTTGGTCGTTTTAACGGTTAAAATATCAAAATTGAGAGCAAAAAAATGTTCCTGTGACATCACATTGAAAACTATTTCTGCTATCAATGAGAGCAATTTGAAGCTCAATTTGATGTACCTTTTTCTTGTTGATAACAAAACGCCTATTAAATTTGATATTCTGCTAAAGCAATGAAAACCAATCTGTAGCAACATAGTTTTGAAGAGCAAATGTATAGCAAAATTAAAACGAAATTTGTTATCAAATTTGTCAATCATGTAGACTGAAATCAAGTTATGATTTCAGTTTGATATTGCTATCAAAATTTGATTTCGATTTGCTGTCATTTTGCTCGGGCATCTTGCCCTTTGAGTAGAAATAATTTCCAGATAATTTGAAGTTATCTTTTGAACTTTTTTCGAGATTTACCAATGTTGTATAATTGTTCTTCAAGCATAGCATTATAGACCAACCCTTGAAGCTTCTTTCAGATTATGGGAAGAATTATTTTCTGGTCAAAATAATGCAATTTTATTCAAGTTTCGTTAGCCACCCGAGCAAAGTCCAGCATCAAAATGACAGCAAATTGAAATCAAGTTTTGATATCAACACAGTTTACACATTGACAAATTTGATACCAAATTTTGTTTTCATTTTCCTGTACATTTGCTCTTTAAAAATATGTTGTTACGGGTTTGTTTTAATTGCCTTAGCATAACATCAAATTGAATACTTGTTTTGTTATCAACAGAAAAAATTGATAGCAAATTTGGTTTTCAGTTTGCTCTCACTGATAGCAGAAATAGTTTTCAATGTGATGTCACAGGAAGATATGTTTGCTCTCAATTTTGATATTTTAACCGTTAAAACGACCAAAACGACAACAACCTGAGTAATCATTATCAGCGAAACCACAACATCAAATTTAGATTTCAATTTGATCTCAGACTTTGCTCGGGCTGTGTGTCGTCGTGATCGCAAATTTGTCTCCGTGGGTTTGCACGTAGGGACTTTTACATAAATTAATTGTCATACGGGCAAAATCTCTTTCGCTTTGCCTTTCACTGATCAACTAACGCCATTGAATTTGTTTAGAAATATATGCTTTTGAGCCCTTCAATATATCTATTGATAAGGTTTTGATTATTGATTGATTGTTTGCGACCGGTGAACGTTTTAGCTGGTGATGTTATGTCACGCTCTAAGGGAAGACGGGGGGTGTAAGATTTTGTGACAAGTTACGAATTAGGTATAGGAAAAACGTGACGAAAGGCTGGATGGGTTACATTTTTCCTCAATTTAGCGTGACATAATTAATGCATGGCCCCTATGCAGTGATTTTGGTGAGTTCAAATGATAGTTTCTGATCTTTTCTGTTGTTAAAAGTTACCATTTAAGCTCGCCAGTCAACATCGAAACTCTCGTAATCATATATTTTGACAACACTATTTTATCAATATAAATTTGAACATCTACATCTGCAGATGCCATAAGACAACATCTGCAGTTGTCCCAAAAAATAGCATCCTTAACAACGCAGTATGTATGCTACATTTTCTCGATCTTATGTTAAAATTAGCTTAGCTTAAAATGATAAAAATATTAGTCAATGGTAAACTAAATGTTGCCACCCATTAAATTGAAAAAAAAAAAAAAATACTTTTAAGTGGCTTTCAACCATAATACATAACAATGTTTAAAAACGATCTAAAATAATAAATATAAAAATTTGCACAAATAAATTGAAGGATTAGGTATTGGAATCAAATTCAAAGATCTGTATCAAAGTCTGATATCAAATTTAGTTCATATGAATCAAACTCATCACTTCGAATTTCTGCATAGTCAATAAATGTTTTTCGCTAAGCTTTTTATTATTGTTGCAGAGATTTTGGCCCAAAGACTGGTTAGTCTCTGATGTCATTTGACATTGTTAAACATGTCTCCAATTGACCTATATTTGCATATTGTAGTCCTACCGATTTTTCGCAACTATCACTATAAGTGCACGCCTTGTAAAACTTAAGCAACCGTGGTTAGTTACAGCAAACGCTAACATGCTAAGGCGGCTGCTGTCCATTTGATTCATTGATGAAACTAAATGAACCGGAAAAATAGTAACACGTGACGACAAAACAATTTGCTCGTCGTTAGTCAGTCATCAGTGTATGCAAATGCACCTCAATCTCTAACCGTGCTGTATAGGCGATTAGGTGCAACAACAAATACAGCTATAAAAATTCCATTGGCCTCGGATTTTGGATGTATGTTTTCGTATTTATTTTGAACACGTACAGCGTTGTGTTAGACCGGAGTTCAAACATTATAGATCGATCGACAACTAGAGTTATTTAGATCAATCTACGATTGATAATTTTCTTTTTTTCACACAAAGTCTATACTGATTTGCACAAATATTACCGTAAAACACTCCCGAGAAAAAGTAAATAATGTTTACCTTTTTACCGCCATTATCTTCATCTTCAAACTTAACCCAATTGGTTGTTTTAGGTGTTTCCTTATCTGCTGTCCCGCTTAAGTTGTTCGTCACAGACAGTGAAGTCTCTTGAATGGAGGCTGGCTTATTTTCGGATTCCATCGATGGTATTGCGGCATTGTTTTGCTGTTGGTCACCATTAGTCACCGCACTGCGGTCAGTTTCATCTGTGCCCCTATTCGAACTCATCACTTTAAACTCAAACGCTTATCCGAACGTACTGAAGTATCAGGCGGAATGTAGATTTCTCATTTAAATCCAGCGTATCGGATTTGCAAGGCACTTAAGTTTTCTTCACGTCTGTCTGTCCACCTGCGACGAGTTGGAAATTAGTTTTGAATGTTAATTGGATTTAATTTGTATACGTGGAGAGTCGCATACCTGTTTGATATCTGACACTTACTTGCGGAATAAACCGAGCATAAAAACTCATCACGACGAGAGCAGAAACTCTCCTAGACAGAGAATGGAATGAACATTTTTATGAATCAAACTACATACCTATACACATATACAATATACAGCTAAGTCCGCTGGAGAAAAGAAACAAAGATATAACAACCTGTACTACACGTACATATATACCGAGAACGTGTTTGAAGAATGGATGGTGTAAGCGTGACGGACAACAATGATATCATACACAGGTGAATCCTACTGGACTAGCAAGCACAAATGAAAGAATTATGTGTAAGTATGTTGGGTATCGGCAATCCAACTAGAATCCATCCATGTTTCATGCTCCTACGTTTAGAATAATGTCATAAATAACAGACATTTGTGCTCGTATATTTGTATCCAATTATTCCAGTCTGAGTACAGAGGCAAAAGAAGCTATTGGTATAGTGCATTGGAGAGATATGCATTTTTGCATAATCGAACCGAAATAACCGCCTATCGGTTCGTTGAATTTCGTTTATCTAAGCAATGTGGGGTAAAGGGTGGAGTTGCGTCATTGTATCGCCAGGTTTGCAGAGCATAAACCTCGGTTGCTTCGTGCAGCCTCTTGCAATATGACCTTTCTCCCCGCATTTCCTGCACAGATCAGATCTACCAGGACCATTGCAGTTCCTCGCCTGATAAGGGTTGATGCATATATTATGTCACGCTCTAAGGGGGTAGCACACTGACCATCCAATCTTGAACTTGCAAGTCTCCAACAGCTTATTCGCTTCAACTTTCGAAAGCCGTATCACCGCCGTTTGCATGCCGCTGTACGCCTTCTTCATCCGGATTGACATCGCAACATCTCCCAGATCGCAGTGCACTCTCAACGCACTTATCAGCTCCTCTTCTGTCGTGATCTTGTCCAGATCTCTGCACTCGACCACTGACTCCTGGGATAGAGCTCTTACGCTCGCCCCTTCTCCTAGAGACTTTTCGACTAGCTCCTTGAAGGCTGAGCTCTTGATCGCAGGATCTTTCTTCAGCTCAAAGAGCATCTCGCCTTTCTGGGTTCGCCTGGTTTTCACCACGTTCTCCCCTAGTTGCTTGAATCCTCTCGAAGCTTCTGGAGGAGTGCTGTATACGACGTTTTGTCTTTTGCTTCGACGATCAGAGCATCGCCCTTACTTCGCTCTCGACGAGGCCTGGGTTTCTCCTTCTTCTGTTCTTCTTTATTCTTCACTTCTTTTTCCTTCCGTTTTTTCCTTCGGCTTCTCGACGGTACGCCATCCTTCCTCCTTGTTGTCTTCCTTGTCGTTCTTGACTTTTTTCAACTCCTCTTCCTCTCCTGGCGTTTGTCACGATCACGGTGACATGGTGACACGGTGTGTGGGATTATTACCGCACTAAAACCTCCTTGGACGCCTTGCCCTTTTCCACCGGAACCACTTGTATTACTTCGGAGGGGGCTGCGCATTACGCACTTCACTTTACCTCAGCTTACTGGCGCTTCCACTTCGCTGATCGTCGCTTCAATTTGTGAGCCATTTAGCTCCCAGTGTCGCGTTCTACTCGGCTAACTCCCGGCGGTGGATTCAGTTTACTCCGACGGAGAGTTCTCCCGGCTTCGTCTTTCACTTCGCACTTGGGTGATCTGCTTGGGACCAATAGGCTATTCAAGCAATGAGCCAATTTAAAATCGTTAGTTTCCACCGGTTGTTACTACTTTCTAGCTGGTATTCTCGCTGTTTTCACTGAAGCGCTGACATGATCTGCGCTACTGTTCTGCTGACGGCGTTAAAGGTGCCCTACTCTCGACACATTTCTTTGACGACATTCTCCGCGCTAAGGGAGAGCATCTCCTCTCGCACAGCATCAAATCCAGGACATTCGAAGACCACGTGCTCTGGTGATTCTTCCACATTCCCACACTCCGGTCAGAAGGGTGACGTTGTGTGTCCGAACCGATGCAGGTACTTCCTGAAGCAGCTATAACCAGACAAGAACTGCGTCAAGTGGAAGTTGACTTATCCATGTTTCCTGTTCACCCAGGTTGAAAGAATTGGGAATAGTCTGTGTGTTCATCTACCGTTCTCTGCTGCATCCCACTCCTGCTGCCATCGACACCGTTCTGCACTGCTTTACAGTTACTGACCAACATCACTTCTGTGTTGTGGTGGGCTATCTGCCGCTTCGCTCCTTGCATCCAGTTACCAATCGTATCTATAATTTCGGCCGTCAGCATTTCCACTTCTTCCAGGGTCTCAGAGAATTTATTTCTGTAACTGTAACCAGTTCGATTTTGTTTGCAAACCTGGTTAAATTGTTATATTTAATTATCTTAAAGATACATCGTCCAGCTCAAACCTTTGTAGGGGTAAGAGGTGGGACCATCATCATCATCATTAATCACTAAGATCTCAAGATTAGTTATTTTCAAATCAGTATCCGTAACTGAACAAATGGAATCAAAATTGGAATAAACATAGCCTATTAAAGTTCTACCATAGAGGTAACTCTACTCTACTCTACTGTGCCTGGAAATATGCGTATATTCATCTGCCGTTTGTTCCAAATTGAAAAAAAAATCAACTAAACTCTTGAAATGATTAGAATTATATTGTCACACCAGCCAATATATTTAATTTACTAGAATCAAGGAATTTCTCGAGCCAGTTCTCTACAATTTCAACAAAACGTTGGTTACTAGAACTGGAAGAATGACACCAAACACCATAATTACCCATCTTCATGCCACGCACAACTGTAATGCCCAAGAACCAGTTGCCATCAATAAATTCGTTGGTACGTTGGTACAAAGGTTGAATAGAACCGATTCTTTGACATAAAAAAATAAATAGTAACACCACCAGTGTGTCTAGAAATTGAGTGTTTCAACTCACTCGGACATGGATCATAAGGCTAGCTTTTTCTAAGGCCTTAAGGTTGTTTAGTTCACTAGACTTGAAGTGAACTAAATAAAAATCATTAGAAATCCCGTTGCGCGAATCGCCAGGAAGGGATTTGATTTTGATTACTTGGACTGGCTCAACTCCAAGTAACTTTGTCAATTCATCTTTGATCTGATCCTGAGATTCGCCATTGGGTAGATCTTTCAAGACAACCTTGAACAGACGTTCAGTTTTGGTGTCGTATGTGAAAAATGTGTGTTGCTTCCCGAGCAAAGTGTGAGAACAAATTGAAATCTAAATTTGATGTTGTGATTTCACAGATAATGATTACTCAGGTTCCTGTCGTTTTGGTTGTTAAATATCAAAATTGAGAGCAAAAAAATCTTCCTGTGACATAACATTGAAAACTATTTCTGCTATCAGTAAGAGCAAACTGAAAACTCAATTTGATATCAATTTTTCCTGTTGATAACAAAACACGTAATCAATTTGATGTTATGCTAAGTCAATGAAAACAAACCCGCAACAACATATTTTTGAAGAGCAAATGTACAGCAACATGAAAACAAAATTAGATATCAAATTTTTCAATTGCGTAAACTGAAATCAAATTATGATTTCAGTTTGGTGTTGATATCAAAACTTGATTTCAATTTGCTGTCATTTTGATGCTGGACTACCTTGCTTCTAACATTTGAATCATATCTTAAGCAATTGACTGTGTCATGGCCTCATATCGTTCGATCGATAATTCATCAAACTAGGTCGAAGATATAGTATGATATGATATGGCTAAACTAGACTCGTTCAAATTTTTACTTCACAATTCTGATTGTAATACATTTGCTCTCTGTGAAACATGGCTTTCTTCCAATAAAGAACTCAACTTTCACGATTTTAACATTTGTAACGATGGGTCCAATATTAGATCCATAGGCCAACATTAGAGACATTTCCCCTATTACCTTCTTACGTTTTGTTCTAGCTATTCCGTAATTCACGTCTAAATCAAATAGCTCTTCCGGATCTACCAGTACGCGATATTGCTTGTTATTATAGCCATACACTCTATAGTTTTAAAACTGTAGGGAGGATCCGGAATATTATATAGAATTCAGCGTTTTTACCTCCCAATACAGCCAAATTTTCCACCGAAACTTTGACATACGCTAGTAATTTCGGCTCGTACGCCATATTGTTTTGTTTTGAACAAATCGTACGAGCATTTCACACAAGATCAACTCATAAAGTTCATTGCAGCCTCGTATGAAATTTAGACGCATTTTGTATGTATGGGAATCATTTTTGAGTCATGTAATTTTCATAAGCATGCTATGAATACCATACGTGTCGTAGGTATGAAACTATTTCTTGAGCTCAAAATGTTTCTTCATACGAAACATATTATGAAAATCGTTATTCTAATTTCCCCAGTGTGTGGAAGCTTATCAATGATCCCAATGCACAATTGGAAACTGGAAGCACAACAAAGAAAAGTTCCAAGTGCACCCTTCAAAAGGAGATCATGATGGAACGAAGAATACACAAGATTGTATGTAAAAATCGGCTGCTTTCAAAACTTTTCGTAGACACGAAACCTCCACATACTTCGAGGAATAGCTTGAGACAAAGTTTAAACAATTAGTCAAAGCAATAAAACGCGGTTACTGGCGCAATTTCGTCGAAGGACTCTCATGAGAAACCTCAACACCGCAACATTCGATTATTCGATTTCGCTAAAAAGCAGCACAACATATTCTTCGAGAAACTTTTACAAGCGGCGGCTCTCTGGATAGAGCATTCACAATGCTGGAATTCTCCATGGCTCTTCTTTCATCGAACAACTCAAGAGCAACAATTGAAAATGCCTCAACTTCATTTTGTAAACAAACCTTGTAAGGCCATTTTGCCACGAACAACCCAAAAAAACTACAAGAGACCTCGCAAGGGACAGCCCAATGGGGTTGTACGCAATGATGACGTAGGACTACGTGGTATGATATTATCGTTTCAGTAGAAAACCGGAAAATCCCACACGCGCCAATTGAATTTACTCTCGTTCTGTACGTTAAACATAACGTCGGACATAGTGCGCTGTATTCACACAATGATGCGCTATTCAGCGCACTATGTCCGACGTTATGTTTAACGTATAGAACGAGGGTAAAATCGAATGTCGCGTGTGGGATTTTCCGATGTCCAACTTGAACGACAATATAA